AGGACAGGGAAGTGACCCAGAGACCAAAATATGACACTGTTTGAGACACATGACAACCTGAACCTCACACAGCATGTATCAACAGGCCTAGCAGTAGTTTCCTATGGCTGCTATGGCAAAGTGAAAATTCCTGGCTTAAAGTACCAGGAATTTATTCTCTCCCAGTTATGAAGGCTGAGGTCCAATATAAGGGATTATCAAGAACTTGATCTCTCTAAAGTCTTCAGGGGAGAGCCTCTTCTGGTGTCCCCCAGCTTCTGGTGACTGTTGGCAACGATTGGTGTTACTTGGTGTAGTTCCAATCTCTGCCTGCTCCTCACAGGTCCCCTCTGTGTCGTATATTCAAATTTCCCTCTCTTTTCTCATTTTCTAAAGAAAGCACTTCATGAGGGTACACAGTAATGCAACATGACCGTATCTTAACATGATTGAATCCAAGTCTGTAGGAAAATACTTCAAAGTGATAAGAATGTTAAGCTGAATCTCAAATTGTTTTGAGGTAGTAACCTATTCTGAGAACTAGGGATCCTGGGTTACCAGACTGCAGAGCTCCAGTATTCTCTGATTGATGAAGTAGTAACTATACTTTCTTTTTTTTAAAAAAATACTATTTTTGTTTTTATGTGTAAGAATGGATTGCCTGCATGTGTGTAAGTGCACACATTTTGTGCAATTACCATAGATGTCAGAAGAGATTGTCAGATCCCTAAAAGTGGAGTTGCCAACGATCATTAGCCACCAGGGAGGTCCTGGGAACTGAACCAGCATTCTCTACAGGAGCAAATGGTGCTCTTAACCACTGAGCCATTTCTCCAGTTCTGTAACATGCTTCTTAAGACAGACATTTGGTTTCATTGGAATTGACAGTGCCCAATGAAGAAGCATAAACTACAACATCTAGCACCTCAAGAGTTGTAAATGAATGGTGTTCATGGGCAGTTATGCAATATGGGTAATTATCAGCCTTACTAATTATCTTTAATACCTCCTAATTGCCTAGATTTTGCTCAGATACCAAATTAATTTTTCCATTAAAAGAGAAATATGATGATTATAGACAATATTGTTTGGAAAGTTAAAAGAAGGAAAAAGCAAGCTCCCCTAAGCCCAAGCATCCAGAAGCAATGTGGTTCACTAATGTATTTGCCCGTTTCTCCTAGACCTTCAAAAATGAACTTTTTGACCACTACATATGTATATATTCCATTTATTTCTGATTGATATTTGCTTAACTTTTGAACTTTAGCATTTTTCAAGCTACTGAGAACTTTTTAGTTACATTTAGTGAATCTGTGATAATACACAAATTACATAGTTATTTATCTAGTGAACATTTATTTTCTTTTTATTTTCATTATTGCCAATCAGGTTGTGATAAATACCTTTGTCTTTTATCCCTCTTTAGGAACAATCTGAGAATGCATTCTTGTAGTAATACCCCTATAAGAGTATGTTTACTGTTTAACTAGTATTCATTCTTTGCATGTAGATGGTCCCTTCCTTTCCCCAGCTCTCTCTCCCTTATTTTATATAATGGTATTGCTTAAGTACTGTCCTAGTTTGTTCTTCATTGCTGTGACAAAACACTCTGACCAATACCAACTTGGGGAGGAAAGGGTTTATTTGTCTTACATCTCCCAGGTTGCAAGCAGTTCATCAGGGAGCCCAGGGTAGGAACTCAGGGCAGGAACCTGGAGGCAGGAGCTGGAGCACAGTCCATGGAGGAACACTGCTTACAGGCTTGCTCCTTTGGCCCCTGCTCAGCCTGCTTTCTTATGCAACACAGGCCCACCTGCCCGGGGGTGGCACCACCCACAGTGGGCTGGGCCCTCCCACATCACTCATCAAGAAGATGCCCTTCAGACATGGCCACAGGCCAGTCCAATAGAGGCAATTTCCCAATTGAGGCTCCCTCAACCCAGGTATGTCAAGTTGACACTAAAGCTATCCAGCACAAGTACCACTGGGTTTCATGGTATAAGCATGAAATAAACAGGAAAATATTATATGCTATCAATATTATATACTCTAGGCTTGACTGGGGTTTATTATTCCTTTAAAAATCCCACACGACTCTAGGACAGAATAGATCTCAGTATGAAATTAGCTCTATTATAATTCATCTATGTCCGCTTACTTTAAAAAGAACTGTGACTAACAGCATAGCAGAGAAACAGCTGAATACAGGCATGTTTGAGGCCATGAACACGATGCAGCACTTGACAAACATAATATTTTGTTAGGGAACACACAGACCTACTGGGTTGTACATTATTCCCAACTGCTCTCCTTTATGCTTTATTCCAAGCAATTTAATTCTCAGTAACAGATTGGGGCTGTTTATTCTTTTGGAAATTCAAAATAAATCCCATTATGAACCTGTGAGCCATTCTGAGGAAAACAAATACAAAACCAGTGCCCCTTAGTGTCCCTTTCAGTCTGAAGCTCTATAAGAACAGTAAGATTTAGTATTTAAAAAGTTATATCTTACAATGATACTCTGAAAAACTGTCAGCTAATTAATTTCTAAAAGGTCTGTTGGTTTCACCTCAAAACCCTTCACATGTATCAATTTTTTTCTACCCCCCCTCCTGATCTCTGCCTATCACTAGTGGACTGAATTATTATGGCCACACTGCACTCCCTTAAACTCACTTATTGGTTGATACAGGGGAAGTAGAAAGCTGAAAAGTGATATCAAGGAATGTGTTTTAGAGAATAATATATTAGTGCATTGTAATCCAAATCTAGATTTACTTGTTTATACATTAGATATACTACTACGTCAACATTTTATTTTATAGTTATATGAAAAAATGTAAATACAGAGGTATGCTTTAGACCCACTCCCTTGAATGGGCCTACATGCCCAGTGGGTTGTATGCTTCATCCAGAACAACTGACCTGAAGGTTCAGTAACTTGAAAACAGGCTCTGGGCCTTGTTTCCACCCTCCTTCTGTCTAGCTTCAACCCATTTGTCAGTATACATCTAGTCAAGTTACTTAGCTTAAAATTCTTCTGTGGTTCCAAATTGACAAGAGATCAAAAAGAAACGTCTTAGATTGTTGTATGAGGTCTTTCAGTTTCCAATTCTGTTTCTTTTTTCTACATTCCAGTCAAAAGAATGACTGAATTTTCTAAAATTGAATGACTTTCTATGCACACTTTTAATTTTAATACAAGTAGCATTTCTTTTAGCCCAAAAATGCTTCGTTTATCTTTTTTACTTAATATTGAACCTTTGAGATTTAAATCAATTACATTATCATCTGAGATACATTCCTTGATACCTCTTTCCAGTTCTCTACTTCTCCTAAATTAATCATTTTACTGTAATTTATTTGTTTAGTGTATGAGTCTACCTCTAATTGAGTTCCTGGCAACTAGAAATCTAATATATTTATTTTGGCATCTTTTTCAGCCGCATATATCAATGGCAGAACAAATCTAACATGTAGTAATAAACATCTGTGGAATAAAGGCATAAATAGTGAGAAGCCCACATCAAAACAAATGCAGAAAACGCTACATTTTCTATCTTGTGGCAAATCTACTTTATAAAAAGATCCTCTAAACTATGTAGATGCCAGTATCCAAGATTGAATATTGGTCTGTGGTTCAGCTCCTGCCTCCAAGTTTCTGCCCTGAGTTCCTGTCTTGGCTTCCCTTGATGATGGACTATGAGCTGTAAGCCAAACAAAACCAAGCTGGTTTTGGTCAGTGTTTTTATCACAATAGAAAATAACTAGAACAGAAGTTGGTATCAGGACCATGGGGAATTGCTGTGACAGGCTGACCATCCTGTTTTGGGGAGGATTGTTGTAACATTTGGAACTTGGGGCTGGAAAAGTCATTGAGTGCCCAGAGCTTAGTGAACTGTTGCTGTGCAGCTTGAAATAGTTATGCTGAAGAGAAATGTGGATGATGGAGACCTGGCTCGTGACATTTCAAAGGAAGCAAAGACTCTCGGGGCTGTCTGTGTGATATTTGCATTGAGAACGTATGGTGAGCTAAGGCTGAATAATCAGCTATGATTAACAAGGGACCAGACCATTCAAGTGAAACTTTTGTTTTAACTGGGACAATTGATACTGGTTAGTTGGGGCTGAAAAGTCAACTGTGACTAAGAAAAGACCAGAATCATTGAGTTGAAATCTTTGGGAAGTATTTCCTCAGGGTCAATACACAGAAGCTGTGATACAGAAGGGGCCTGAAACAACATCTCAAACTGGAAGCAGGACTTGGTAATTTATAATCATCTCCTACATAACACTGGTTTGAAGGCATGAAATGGTCCTTTTGGCACTGTGAGAGACCAAGAAAGGCCATTGGTGAAGGTGTGACCTCACTTGTAGTGAAAACTCACAGGATTCATGGGGTCATGGAGAAAATCTGAGGCTATGCATCCTGAAAGGCCGGGAAAGCCAATTGGTGAAGTTGTAGCCTCAGTTTCAGGAGAGACGCCAGCATATTGCCAGATCATGGATGACAACCAAGGGCAGTGCCAGGTGTGGAGTGGAGCCATCCTGAGCGTATGAGACAAACTGTCAGACAAGAGTGTGACATAGTGTTGTTGATAATGAATAATTATTTAGAACAATGTAGAATTTGTGATAGAAATATCATTTGTTGTTGTTTTGAGGTAGGATCTCACTATGTAGCCCCAGCTGGCTTGAAACACACTATGTAGATCAGGCTGGTCTCCAGCTCAGAGATTTGCCTGTGTCTGCCTCCTGAGTGCTGGGGAAAAAAGGAGTGTGCCACCATGCCTGCTTGCAGAGACATATTTTAACTATATATACTTATTAACGCAACTATGGATTAGGGAATAACTGAATCTAGGTATTTAAAAACTTAAACAAGGAGCTAAAGGTATAAAAGCAGGAGAGCATTTGCATAGCATGTATGAGGTGACCAGGGTTCAACTCCCAGCCCTGGAAACAAAAGTGAGATGTAAAAACATTGCCAAAGGAATAATATCTTTTTTCCCATCTTTCAGCAATCTTGACACAGAGGAACTATGTGGTAAGTTTCTTTAAACTAATTAATCTCTCATTACTTATTTTAAAAGGAAAAAATGTGTGCTATATTGCCATGTACCTTGGGATTAAAAATTCTGGAATAAAGTAAAAGACAAAAGTCTTCAGGGATGTAGCTTTATCCTTGGGTTTTGCTCCAGTGTGTATGTTGCTTAAGCAGTTGGGCCTCATTAATTTGCTCCTTAGAAAAGAATTGTTATTATAATTGGTACATTAGTTTCCTAAGGGCTAATTCCTCACTCGTTCCATGTGGCTTCATCATTCACTCCATAAAGCACTGTGCAGGTTTCTGTTGCAAAGCTGTTTCCTTGAAATGTGAAAATCTCTGTCCTATACCTTCCTAATAGTTCTACAGTCTTGAACTCTGATTCAAAACCAAGTACTTCAAGTGGGGAAAGAGACATCTTTACAAATGTCTAGTCTATTGCATCTTCATTTATTTTTGATATCTTTGTTGTTGGAAACAGAACTCAAAGATCATTAATATGGACAAGAAAATAATATGGAATTTATTCTTTATTATGAAAGTGGAGCATTATGAAACTATTGAATTTGAAGCAGTCATATATCTCTCTGAACACTGGAAGATTTTATATTTTACATTTAAGATAAATGCATGAAATAACCCACGTGTACAAGTATGATCTATTGCCTAGGCAGCTTGAAACATTTCTGATGGTCAGAAGTAAATTTTTCTAGAACGCCTAACTGAAATCTCAAGTAGTTCCTGGATGTTATATAATTATTGAAATTTTAGAATTTACCAAATTCCTCAAAAAGGAGATTTTCTATCATTTAATTGGCTTCTTTCTTTTTCTGCCAACCAATAGAGCAGTACCAGGAACTGTGCCATGGAAAAAGTGGCAGAACGCATGCTTTCAATGCAATAAGTGAATAAACATGATTATGGCCAACCAGGAGCTTTGACTTTTCCAATGACCATAACTCTCTGCTCCTGTCCCTGCATAATGCTCCCCTTGTTCTGGGAGGTGAACCCAATTGAAAGCATGTAGAAACAATGTACCTCGGTATCACAGCAGGCCAAGCTCTTGTGAGTTTTTATGGAAAAATCCTGTCATGCCTTCACACACAGTCATAGGTGACCCCGTCTTTACATGATGATTACTGCTAAAAAGACAAAAGGGTTCATGTGACTGTGACACTAGACTTTGTGATGAATAGCAAACCCTATGAACATCATTGTCATGCATTCTGGGGTAGAGAGCCCCTGCCAGTGAAATAGATACTGTGGAGAAGAGAGACAATGACCTTGATAACTTCATGAAGCTGGAGGCCTATTTGCTTCAGATGTCTAGATACATCAGGACAAAGTAATCATTTCCTGCAATTGTTCAGATAATTCCTTTTCTATTCCACTAACTGTGCCTGGATAAGAAGAGCTGATTGAAAAAAAAATGCTATAATAGAGGTCTTTTAAGATAAAAACATTTAGTGTCTGTTCTCCATTTGCTGCCATCTGTCATTAAGGAATATTGTATTAACCTCTACCTTCCCTTCAAAATACTTCAAATTTTAAAGTCTAATAGCGTATCTTCACTTAATTATCTATAAAGTATTTTGTTTGCTTTTCTTCTGTAATAAAGGAACTAGATTAGGAACTTACCCCTACACACTCCTGCATAGTTTTAGCAAGGGAACTGGCAGAGTTTGAATTCACTAGAATTGCTTTATATATTTTTTAATTGAGTGGTTGTGTCTGCAATCATGTCATAATCCTCTTCACTGATCAAGAACGTGCATTTTAATTTCAAGGCTGTCGTTTCATTTCTCATTATTTTGTGAATAGAAAGTAAATATTTAAGTTGCGTTTTGATCAGAGCTAGCGCTTCAGTGCCAGCAAGTAAGATATGTGGGTTCCCACTTCATACAACTCCCTGTGTGCGGGGGGGGGGTGGAGCTTGATTGGCACAGAAAAGAGACTTCATACACCTTCTCCTAGAAACCAGTTACAGATCCAGGCATCCAAAAGTTAGATTAATCAAGCTTTTGTTTAACTCATCAGCTAATTCAATTATTGACCTAAAACTCAAATCTATTTAAATATGACTTTAAAAATATCTTTGCAGTTAATTTATGAGAGTAATATATAACTAATATTTTTAAATTTAACAATATAACATCATGTGATTATATGTGCTAGAATACCATTAGGGATGTTGGTGAGTGACACTGTCAGAGACAAGGGCATTTTCGTCCTGTGGGGCAATTTCTCAAACTATATTTCTCTGTTAAGGCTTTTCCAGGCTACATACAAACAGACACTTATCAGCACACCATCCCCTTAATATATAATCTGCACTGTGCATTTCTGATTCTTCAGATCACGGTGACTAGTTCACCATATCGCTCATCTCAGTTATTTCCTTTCCTACCTATGCTGCTGAAGAAGTTTTAGCAAGGCACATGCTGTGGAGCTCCTTTAATTTCATGGGGAAACTTTGTGAGACAATTTCTTACTTTGACCTTTCTGTCACTCATGAATTTTTTGGTTCTGACTTGCAATGTGTCAGCCAGATCTGAAAACTCAACAACTTGAAAGACCGAGTTGCAGAATAAAATCCAAAATCCAGAAATCTGTTGCTTGGTGATGCAACACTACTGACTAAGTACAGTGGGGAAAAGAGAAACTAAACTCTGATCAGCATTTTATTAGTGGAGGTGCTGCGTTGAATATGCATGAGAAGATAATTTGCTTTCTGAGACCTAACTTGTTTAATACATCTGTTTATAAAATTTCATTCTATTCTTCCCCCTTTCCAATGTTCTTCACATAAACTGGTGAGACTGTTTTAGAGTATCTATAATTGCCATACAACTTTTTTCCCCAAACCTATGGTACCCACTTATGGATTTCAATAAAAATAGGTCTTTTGTCCAGGAAATACTTCTTGTTTTCCAAAGACAAAAATTTTAAGCAACCGATATTTGCTCCAAATCTTTATTTCTCACAGTGACATGATTTTATGGCAAAACATATTTTCCAGTTCATAGTAATATTCTTATTTAAATTAGAAATAGGAACTACAATAACAGAAATTAGACATTAATCCAAGCTCAGCCACTTCCATGGTCACCAAGGACTTGCCTGCCTGCTTTCCACATCACCAGGTGTGTGGATAGACTGCTGGAACTCTAGCATGCTATCGTCCTTTATCCCATCACAGTCCTCAGTGTCTGATGAAACTTCTCCTCATAATTGTTGTTCAAGTCTCTCTTGACAGCTCCAACAACATGCCCAAAGTAATCTATAATATAGCCAGGATAGCCCTACAAAGATGATTTCAGGATGTCACTCTCCTTTTCAAGATGTTCACCTGCCTGTTGCTTATAGCTGTCTCAATTTTAGTTTTCACCACACATTTTCCTAGAGAAACTGTAGAAAATGATGATTTCTGATTTCAACCCCAAGATTCTGATTTGTCAGATGAAACCTTATCTTAATTTCCAATAAGTACTCTAGAACAACGTTTCCAAAACTTAAAAGTACCTATAGATCTCCTGTTGTCTTATTAAAACACTGTGATTCAGCAAGTCTGTGGGCCTGAGATGCTATGTTCTAATAAATTTCAAGTTGGAATTGTTACTGCTGGTCTGCAGATCCAGCTTTGAACAGTGGAACCCCAAAGGATCCTGACACAGATGGTCAAGAACCCTTACCTAAACTTGAGGATTGAAAGCAGAGCACCCAGCAAGAGAAGTTTCTAGTTCTTCCAGTTTCCTCCCTCACTGGTGACTTTAGAATCCTACTGTGAATGAGCTTTAGTCACTGGCCTGGTCCATCTCAAATAGAATCACTTAGATCCTAGCTCAAGCTGCTCTCCAGGCCTTGGTACTGTAGTTCCTCTCTCCCTTCCCAGAGTTATGCATATTGCTATCTAGTATATTAATTAGAGTGAGATTGTTTCCTCCCTACATAGGGAGCTGAGGTAAACTATAGCAGAAATGAGGGAGGGGAAATGAATGAAGGCCTGAGAGATGCCATTCTGAAGCCTCCAGGGACTGTTTTCTCATGTGCTGACCCACATGGTTTCAAAACTGAAAGACAAATTCTCTCCAGCAATTTCTGCTGATTAAGCCAAATGGCTTGTCTATGAAAGAAATATTTATCCTAAAAGATAGCTTTACCACTTTATGTGTGTGTGTAATTGAATCTTTTATGTATTTCATACAGAGCATCCAAACAAAGTTAATCATCTTTATACTCCCATTCCCACTCCCATTCCCACTGCCATAGCCCCCCCACCCTCCACTGGAGCCCATATACTCTGTCATTCCTGTTATGGCCCACTGGGTTGTCAGTGTCCCCAGCCTTTCCCTAGTGCAAGTCCATCCACTGAATCTGGTCAGCCTATCTAGAGGCCCTTGTTTTAGGAAGATCAGCTCTTCTTCATCTAGCAGCAATCAGTTGCCAACATTCCTTTAGATAAGATTGAGTCTGCTGTTCATTTTCCCAGTTCTATGCTGGGTTACTGTCTGCTGAGTTTGCATGGTACTTATGTGTGCTGACCAAATAACTACTTCAATGGCCAGCACAGCATATGTCATTGGTACAGTAATGGCACTCTTATCTTGGGGGCAATCAACAGCTACCTAATTTGACTAAACACCCACTCAAAGGGAGGAAACTCAAGTGTGGTAAGGTAAACATAACCTAATACACATGGCTGGAGTGGCCACAGATCTTAGAGAAAACCCCAAGACTGTCACATCGCTAGACTAATGTGATTTCTTACCATGTGCAAAATACGTATCCTTATATTTACAGACAAATATCCCAGGCACCACTCATCAAGGAAGCTCACTTTGTACCAGTCAGAGATTATTACCAAGCACCACAACTGGTCATGCACGGACATTGTCTATGAATTGCCCAGGCCTAAATGACCCATTTACCACTTTTTTAAAAAAATGAAAACTGGCTTTTTCTGTGTGTTCTGCGAGTTGAACACACAGGCTTCATACGTACAAAACAGTCACTCTACCAACTGAGCTATATCCACAGCTCTCTTTTCATAAGACCTTTTAAACACCACATCTCATTGTTTCATCGGATATATTTCTAACTACTTGCATATAAAACCCCCATGTCATTTTCTCTAAGGCTGTCTTATCAGTGCACGTTTTGCTTATTTTAACTCGCTATGGCCTCTACTCTGATATGTATTGTTTTTCCATCTTATGAATAGTCTACACTACATTGACTGCATACCGATTCATAAAGGGTGTTGTTCACAGGGGTTTCATTTATTGCAACTACTGAACAGTTAAGACAAATATCTTAGCCAACTTTATCAGAAAATTCTCAGCATAATCAAGAATTTAAATGTTATTTTGAAGTATGTATTTAAGGAGTATTTACTTATCTTTTGATTAATCCTTTCCTTAAAAATGTTTACAAAAGATTTAAAAAAAGGACTGGAGAGATGGCTCAGTGGTTAAGCGCACTGGCTGCTCTTGCAGAGGACCTAGGTTTGGGTCTCAGCACCCACAGAGCAGCTGACAACTGTAACTCCAGTTCCAGGAGAATCCAATGTCCTCTTCTGACCTCCGTGGGCAGGAGTGCATTTACACACATGCAGGCAATACACCCATACAATAAAATAGAAATAATAAATAAAATATTAAAAAGTAACAATAAAAAATAAAAGATGCTTGTGCCACACTATTTTTAAGGATTGTATAATAAGAATGAATTTTACTTTTTAGAAAAAAAAACTTCATTTGTTTTAAATCTTTGTGCACATAGGCTGTATTTTGACAACAGGAATCTAGAATTTTTTAAAAGCTTCACTTGTTTTCATTTTCAGAGAAGACTTCACATTGGCTACTAAGAGTCAATGGCACTTTCCAGTGTTTTATGGAACAGTTTTTAGCAGGGTCTCATTTATCCCAGGCTTGACTTGATCTCTCTGTGTAGCTAAGGATGACATCAAATTTATGATCTTTCTGGATCTACCTACTGAGTGCTGAGGTTATAGTCATATACCACCACACCCAGTTTAGATGGTACTGAGGATGAAACCTGGGTTTTGTGCATGTTAGACAAGCACTCTACCAACTGAGCTACATCTCCAGCCTCCACTTTTTTTTTGTACATAATTACGTGATTAGAAGAAGCATTTCATTACAGCTTTAACATATTCAGTAACACCCTCCAGAGCAAGACTACATCTGTTTCACAAGTGGCTGTAAGTTTCTAAGTTCACAGTTGAATTAATACAGTTATACAATATTGAACTCAGTATAAGCCCTATGAGACATAAAATTGAATGAGTTTTTAACCTTTAAGAAAGATCTCCATTTCATTTTAGAATATATTGTTCCTTGCAGAAAGACTCATTGTTTTTGCTACTAACACTGAGATGTTGGCGCATGCATCTCTAATCTGTATGTATCTGATTATTACTAGTCATAATTGGTTACACTTGGATCCTTGGTTCCTGTGTGTGTCTATGAAGTCATCGGGAACAGCTTCCACTTTTTATTGATATCAATGGCAGCATATGGTTCCATCTGTAGTAGTAACTAGAGTAATGAAGACAGTTTCTATCAAACATGCTGAATCATATGCCAGTAATGGAATCATATTCCAGACATCTTAAGAAGTCTGCATGTAAATTTATATTATTTTTAATATAATGTTTAATATTTATGGTATATTAAAGAGCTACAATAATAACTAGCTCATCAGTAGATAAATTCACAGGAATTTGATAAAGGCTGTTGATTTTCTAGTACATCGTCCATGAACATTCTGGATTTTTTTATTTTTATTTTTTGGTTTCTTGAGAAATCATCTCCCTGTAGCCCTAGCTAACCTGTGTAGATAAGGCTGGCCTCAGTGTCACAGAGATTCACCTGCTTCTGCCTCCCAAGTGCTGGGATTAAAGGCCACCACACCCGGCATAAAGTTCGGACTAATTTATGAATTTTTCTTGTTAGATCTCCCTCATTTTACAAATATAAAGAATTCTGTAAGTAAATATGAAATTTTCCACTTATCCACATTGTATTTCACCACACTAGTTTAAGATGAGCTTCTGTTCTGTATTTCCACTTCAATCGTGATGGTCAAGGTATTGCTTATTCCCACCAGTGGAATGTGATAAGCGTGGCTTTTGATCTTTGAAAAAAAAGTGTTTAAATTATTTAAAACAACTGAAGACAGAAGTGGCGGTGGGGGGGTGGGGCTTGCAGTGCCACAGTGGAACAGTGCTGCACAGGGCAGTGTCCCAGGAGTCCTCCTTTGTGATTTGTAACAGCACCGATTCTTAACCTTGAGGAAACTTATCATTCTTAAAGGTTTCCCAGAAGAAACAATGGTATATATTTTTACTTTTTTCCTAAAATTGCCATCCTAGTGGGATCTATAATAACATGCTGTTAAGAATGATTTTTTTGATCATTTGACATGTTCTGTATGAAAATTACAAAAACCTAGTAATAAAAAAAGGATTTTTTTTTAATTGAATCAAACTTCACCTTACATCCATATCATTTTCCCTCTTTTTTAAAGAAAGGATATTATTTTATGGGGGATGATTATCAGCCAGGCTTCTTTTTCTATGGTTTTAACTGAAATTAGTATATTGGTACCATAGTCTCGTTTGAAAGATTTCCAGTTTTCATTTGTAGCCAACATTTTGTTTACTAATTTATGACATCAATTATTGGATAACTTTTTTGTTTTGTGATTACTACACTTCAATAAATTTATTTCCATATTTTCACTTTCAGAATATTTTTCTCAGCACTTGGGCGAGTATGAAAATGTACTAGCAGCACTTGAAGACTTAAATCTCTCCATCCTGAAGGCAATGGGCAAAACAAAGAAAGTAAGGCCATGTCAGCATTTGCTTTCTAGAAAAATCTCTTCTTTGAAAAATACTTTTATTGAAATCATACACTTTTCTTAGTGTATTATAAATATACAGATTACTCTTATCAGTGATAGTTTATTTTATATTAATACACTGTATCACTCACAGTGTAATTACAAGCACTAACTGTGTACCACTGACTGTGCTTTGTGCTAAGAATGTAAGGACTCCAAAAGCTCTTCTGGCAGCTCTTACTATGGTGGAAACACAAATATGTAAGTAAGTAAACTGTGTGACAGAGAGAAGTAAAAGAAGGGATACTTAGCTTATGCTGGAAGAGGTGACATCTGAGGATTTAGAAATCAGGGAAATGGTTGTTATAGACAAAGGAGAAGTAACAGCATGAGCAGAAAGGCCCCAGGCACTCAAGGAAATGAAAATGGACTATAAAAATAAAGTACAGAAACTTGAAGGTCAGCACCATGTGAGATGAATCAAGGTTCACAACTTTCATGATGCCAGCAAAGCTAAGGATGTAGGCTTATGTCCAAAATACAAATAAGCCAACACTTTAAGCAGAGGTATGAAAGCCCATTCAGTCCTTCAGAAAGATTATGTAAGAAATGGGTTGGGATCAAGCTGAAAATGTAAGGGATGAATCAGGAAGATGCATCAGGAGGCTAGATCACTAGGTTCAGGTGAGAGATATCGGTATTTGGAAACCAGTTTGGTGGAAAATACAGAGAATAGCAGCAAGTTATGGAAATAACTTTTATAAAATGGGCATAGTCTGGACTAATAGCCTTTAATTAACCCCAGCAAAACCATGTGCTCTTATGTCTTGTGACTTGGGCACCTTATCTTATTTCCTTGAGAACCTCAATTTGGTCTTTACCCAAAAAGATAATAATGAATATGGGTCTAATTGAGAATTAACAAATCAAAGCACTGAAAGGTGAGAAACCCACCTCCATTGCACACGGTGGGGACTGAGAAGGACAAGTGCTCTTGGGTGAATGAGATATTCTAGAACTAGGAATAAAAAGACTGTTAAGATTAAGGTGGAGCCAAGCTTGTACTTCCCCAGCAGAAGTCAGAGAAACCATTTTGAATAATATTATGGATGAGGCCAGGCTCAAGGACACAGTTCCAGAAAAATTTCTGGAGACAGTTCCAAGAGGTACCTGGGGGAACAAGTGTCCTCTGAGTTCAGGCCCACTCTTAAAAACTAAGTTTGAGGCTGGAGAGATGGCTCAGTGGTTAATAGCACTGACTGCTCTTACGGAGGACCCAGGTTTGATTCCTAGCAACCAAAAGGCGACTAATAACCATCTGTAACTTCAGTTCCAGGGGATCTGACAACTTCTTATGACCTCTGTAAGGATTGCAGAACACGACTGCACTTACATACATGCAAGAAATACATTCATACACATGAAATAAAAATAATAAATAAAATATTTTAAAGCACTCAAAAACTAAATTTAAGAGTCAGATGTTTTGTTCAGGTAATTATAATGTTGATGTAGTAACGCCACAGCAAGCGAATTGCATTTTTGTTTGACGCAACAGCAACAGGATTTAGAGAAACACTGAATCCCAGGGAGGAGAAAAAGATGTATCCACGATGGATCCAGTTTTCAGCTTGGATTCCTGGGTAGTGACTTCCCCTAGACATAATGCTAAAAGAGGAGCAGGAGTGTGGAGGCAAGCACAGAAGCTCTTTTATTCCCTCTAAACTGTTTTAGAGGTGTCTAAAGAGACTCAAGTCACCCATTGGGTTGGTTTCATAGGTGACATCTAGACTTGGAGATAAAATTTTGTGAGAGGTCATGATTCAAAAGAACTTGGACGATGCTATCTAGAGAGAAAAGAAAAAGTAAAGGAAGGAGAGAACATAGTGATATTCAATATGACACTGTAACTTTTGAAGGTAAGAGGAGGAGGCAGGAAGACTGAGCATTGGCCGGAAGGGATGTGGAGAGTCAGGATGTGGCATCCGGAAGGGAAGAGAGTATTTCAAGATGTAGGAAGTGGTTAAATGTTCACTGCCATGTGGAGATTAAGAGATGAGAATTATATTTTCCACTGTGAGTGATTCAAGTGACATTTGAGCTTAAGATGTATGACAAGTAGATTGTTTTAAAAGCATGTATGGAATTCCTATATAGAGACAGCAGAGCAAATAGCCAGCGAATTTTGCTACCCCTAAAGCATCAGGAAAGATACTGGAAGAAGGTTCTTTATAGCAACAAAATTTGGAAATTGAAAAACAAATAGACAAGTGGTTCCTGACAAAAGACACTGACCTACTTGCCCTGCAGGGGAGAAACAGCTGTCACTGCAGCTCAAGAAAAGCTAAGGAATCTGGTACTACTTACCTCCAGAAGAGGAGGCTGATTAATGGTAGAGCTGAAATAGACTGACCTGCTGGAGATCTGTGTAGAACGCAGTTGGATTCTCAGGTTCCCTTCCTCTGCTTTAACTCAGCTGAACAATGGCCTCTTTGTCAACCCAGGTTAAAAATGTAGATTTGCTATTGTCAAGGGTAAAAGAGAAAATCTGTGTTCTCTGGGAGTATTAGACATGGTTGAGAGATTAAGAAAAAATTTACATAGTGCATGAAAGGATATCAGTTCTTTTCTCTCAGTAAACTCCCTGAGTTTTGGCAATATATTCCTCCAGGCAGACAGGAAGGCTTTTCTTTTAAAATCCGAACAGGACAAAGTGACAGAAGGTCCACAAATGATAGAGCCTGGTCAGATCTCCCTTTTCTCCCCTCTACTACTGAGGACTTAGTCCTACCTCATCTACTGCTAAATATGAAGTCTGCCAAGAAAAGACTTTTTATAGAGATGACAAAGATGCCAGTAAACAGTAAAAGGGTGGGGGCAGGAGGGAGGGAGACAAGAAGGAGTTAAGATAGGAATCGTAATTATTCTAAACCTCAAAAAACTATTCCTAACCTCCTTGGAGAAATAGGAAAAGATACTGTACTGAAGAGATAAGCAACAGACAGCTAGAGAGCAAGAAAGTGAACCAAGAGAGCAGAAAGGATGCTCAGTAGATTTTGGAAAATGAATTTTAGAAGATCTCTTCAAGTAAACCAAAATAGAAAATAGAGACATCAGCCTAAGTTGTCCTATGCCTAAAAACAAATGGCACAGAGACTGAATAGAGCGAACAGAAATAAAGGAGAATCCGAATGCATTTTTTCTTGCATGCCACAGGAGAATCTAGGACTGCATGTTAACTTTGTCCCTTAGCAGTTTTTCTAGAAGTGGTCATTATAAAATCTCTATGCTTGGCCTGTGGGAGGTGGAGAGAAGAATGGCAAGTTCAAAGCCTGCCTAGGATATACTACAGCCAGCCCAAGCTACTTAGCAAGGCCCTTTCTCAAAACAACAATAGCAGTGACAAAAGCAAACAAACAACAAAAAGAAAATGAAAACCAAACCAAAGCAAAGAAAGAAATGGGGAGGGGAGTTAGGATAAAGCTCTAGAACCTCACATTCATGAGGTCTTAGGTTCAATTCCTAGTACTGTAAATAAATAAATACAATTTTCTGCTTATGTGTTGTATTCTGCATGTGAAATGCCCTTACAGACTTATGTGTTTGAACATTTAGTCTCTAGCTGGTGGCACTGTTTTGGAACGTTGTAGAATCTTGAAAAAGTAAAACCTGCCTGGAGGAAGTTGGACACTGGGGCAGGCTTTGAAGTTTGGTAGTCCTGCTCCATTTCCTGTCTGCTCTGTGCTTCCTGAGATGTGAGAGGATGAAGAATGCACACTCTTGCCCCCATGGAGCCACCTACAGCCATGCCTTCCCCTCCATGATGGACCATATTGCCTCAAACTGTGAGCCAACATAAATTCTTCCTCCTTTAAGTGGCTCCTGGCTAGAGATGTGGGCTCAGCAATAAAAGGCAGCTAATACAGCTTGGCCACTTCTTCTCCACATTCTTTAGGCCTTACCTTTAAAAGTATAGCATCACAATGAATGTCTGTTTGCCCTGTCTAAAAAGCTTCATCTCTTATAGAATATCCACTTGTTTTTTGCTACTGATTATATAATCTATAAACACATAAGATATATCTACTGTCACAATGAGTTACTGTAATTATGTAATTAAAAAGGTTTTTTTTTTTTTTTTTTTTTTTTTTTTCCTACAAGAAAATAAAAAGAGCAATGTCTTTGTTTTTTGGTTTTAGTTTTCTCGGTCTTTTTGAGACAGGGTCTCCCTGTAGCCCTAGCTGGCCTGGAACTTGCTATGTAGTCCAGACTGGCCTTAATGTCATAGAGATCTGCCTGCCTCTGTCCCCTGGGTGTTGGAATTAAAGAGTGTCCCACAGTTACCCTGAGTCTGTACCTGGGACAGGACCTCACAATTAAAATGTATCACTGTATTAAATGAATTTATTAGTTAAAGGAGAGTTTACCCAGCCTACAAATGCTAAATCCTTGAACTATTTGAAAAAAAAATTGCTTCCAAGTCCTAGAAACATTCAGATTTCTTTTAATGAGAAGGTAAAGCAAGTATATAATCTTTCATATTTTCATACAAATATGTACTAAAATCTTTTTATTAACACAAGGCTTTGTGGGATTTAAACTGGGGTCAAAATTTTATTTTTAAGTTGCAAAATCTTTTTCTTGACATTAACTCTTAAAATGTTTGATTCATATTGTCATATTGCTTAATAAAGAAAATATGCTTTTGACTTTTTTTAGTAAGAGAAAAAGAAAGAAAAGGCGAAATGGTAGAAAATAAAATTAAAAATAGTGTCTTAGTGTGATACCTAAAGATGAGTGAAATGCAGGCATCCCAACATCTTTCAAGCCGCTGCTGACCTGTTATCTTCTCTGTATTGTCAGCACAAGGAAGTTTTCAGGATGACAGCAGCATTTCTCTTTTAGAATCTCAGTGTATTTTCACTAACATGAAAAGCCCTGTCTCAATGGGAAGGGCTGACATTCCAAGCTTTTATGAAAAATGAAATATAAGCCATTTGC